TGTGGCCCTAGAAGCCACAGGGCCCATGGCCATGCAGACCCCACACACAATGGACTGCAGCTGGGAACGTAAGCTGACCTAGCCAGATGCTGGGCTGGACTGGACTGTGCGCACCCAGAGCAGAAGCTCTGGGCGATGGCTTTGACCTTAGCCCTGCTGAAGAAAAAAAGGGGACATTTTCCATGGTGGAACAGAGGGAGATGGGACTTTGGAAACCCAGGGGTTTAATTCCAAAGAAATACAGCTTTCCATGAGACCTTATCCTTCCATGGGGATGTCAGGAATATCTTATTTCTGTGGCACCCCAAGAAGTCTACTTCCACTAGCAATAGGGGGAACACAGAGAGCACCCCACTAATAACAAGGCTATATAATATTTACATGACAGAAAAAAACTCTAGAATTTTTTTAGAACTTTTACTTTTTAATTTTGGTTCTCATTTTAATGGCCCAGATACCAGTTGTTAATATAACTTGTTTAAAACAAATGAGAACCTGGCTTCTACAGGAGAAAGAAAGGGAAAAGGCAGGATTCTGACCTGGGTTCTAATCCTATGAGCTCCTAAGTCTCTGCATGACCTAGAGCAGTGATGGCGAACCTATGACACGCGTGTCAGAGGTGACACGTGAACTCATTTTTTTGGTTGATTTTTATTTGTTAAATGGCATTTAAATATATAAAATAAATATCAAAAGTATACATCTTTGTTTTACTATGGTTGCAAATATCAAAAAATTTCTATATGTGACACGGCACCAGAGTTAAGTTAGGGTTTTTCAAAATGCTGACACGCCGAGCTCAAAAGGTTCGCCATCACTGACCTAGAAGATCCTAGAGCTATCACAGTCACTTTGGTAAATGTTGGCTTATTTACCAAAATGTGAGCCTTAATACATATGGTCCTTGACTTACAATAGCCCTTGACTTACAAAGTGTTTCAACTTAAAATGGTTTGACTTATGATTTTTTGACTTTACGATGGTGTGAAAACCATATGTGTAAATTACATGAGATATTCATATGTATATATACACCAGAGGCCCGGTGCACAAAAATTTGTGCACTGGGGGGGGGGGCCCCTCAGCCCGGCCTGTGCCCTCTCGCAGTCTGGGACCCCTC